AAAAAAAAAAAAATGTTGCAGTTTGCCAAAAAAATTAAAACTCCTTCCCTTCATTTTCTCTGTATACCATCATATACATATGGCATACTTCCAGAATGGCACTAACATTCTCTAGTCAGAACTACTCTGTTCTGGCAATGTGCTTGGCACTTGGCAGCTATGATCCCCTATAAACTTCATAACAACCCTATGAAGTTACTATCATTATCCCCACTCTACAGATAAGAAAATAGAGGCTCTGAATGATACAGTAATATACCCAGAGTCTCACAGTTTTAGTCCTTGGAGGTGGGACTCTAACCTAGGGCTCTCTGACTCTTTTTACTACAATCTACTCTGACACTTTTTACTACAATCATACTAGTCTCCAAATCCAGTTTTAGCAAAGCAACCACCCAAGGTACCTGATATTTTCCATTTGGTTTCCATTTTCCAATTCATTTAAATCTGGCAAATATCATTAATAACTACTCTGTGCCAGATCTGTGCTAAGAATCTGGAGGTGGGTTAGGCATAGTGGCCACCTTCACAGAACTCATGGTCCAAACAGCATTTCTTAAATTTCTTTCAGTGAAGGCTATCATATTATATTGCAGTAAAACACTAAAATTTGCAAAACAGTGCTTACATATGATAAACTCTTATATTTTCTATTTTAGTCTAATCTATTCTATTTCAATAAAAATGCTGGTTACAACCCCCAGAATTATTTTGATTAGATATGGGTCAAATCATAAAGTTTGAAAAATTTTGGTGTGCAAGGGGAGATTTCATAAACAGTCAACTTTTGAGAGACTGGAAAAAATTGGTATCTCTGTAATAAGAAACCAAAATGCTACTGAATCTCACTAAACCTCACCTTTTAGTTTCCACCTAGGTTATATGCATCCTTATTTACATCCAGCAACAACAACAAAATATCTCTTTTTTTCCAAAATTCCTATTAAAGTTCCTGAGATGTATTCTAATTGGTTAGGCTTAGGTCACAATGACAACTCCTGAACTAATAATCACTGTGACTGGGGAGATAGAATGCACTAATTGGCTTAGGCTAGGTTACATGATCCATTTCTGAACCCTTAGGTGGAGTCAGCTTCCCTAAAACCACATGGATACCCCAAATAGAAAGAATGGGAAGGCAGATGGGATTCTGGGAAGGCAACTAAAGCATGCCCACTACAGATACATCATGTGCATTATTCCATTTAATCTTCACTTGAAGCTCTTGAGATGAGAATTATTGATGCCATTTATAGAGAAGGAAATGAATGAGAAAGGTAAAGTAACTTGCTTAGTAAAAAGTTTCAGGGCTGGGACTAGCACCCTGATCTGTCTGACTCCAAAGTCCTCATTCTTGGATTTGAATACACTTTGTAAAGTGCAAAGCTGTGCAGACATGAAAGAGATTATTACTGTTTGAGTTTCATCACTGTAGTAGGTGGCACTGCACCTGAATAGTTAAAGAGAGGTTTTTCAATTTGAAGCAAATGTCTACCTCTGATGTCATAAGCAAGGAGTTCTGGTGGTGCAGTGGGTAAGGCATTTGGTTGCTAACCAAAAGTCGGTGGTTTGAACCCACCAGCCACTCTGCAGAAGAAAGATAAAGCAGTCTGCTTCCATAAAGATTTAAAGCCTTAGAAACCCAACAAGGGTCACTATGAGTCGGAATTGACTCAATGTCAATAAGTTTAGTTTGGTCTGATGTCATAAGCAGAGTCCTTTGATGGCACAAATGGTTAAGCACTTGGGTACTGTGGTAGTTAAGTTTGTGTCTTAACTTGGCAGGGCCTGGTTGAGTGGCTGGGCAGCTGGATGTAGTATTCCCAGTAATGAGACTTGTAATCAACTCCATGGTGAAATCTACTGTAAGCCGCTGACTAGTTGCTTTGGGTATGTGGTCTGCTTCCCGTATATAAGAAGCAACTTTGGGAATGGTCTCTAGTTTATGGTACACTTGAACCCTGCATGTAGCCATGTCATTGTGCAGCAGCCTGCCATGCTCTTCCAACCTTGGGACTTTCAATGGACTTGAATTAATGGCCTGCCGTGTGGCTTGGTAACATCAGGACTGTGCCTTTTTACTTGTCACCCTTGGGCTTGTCAGTCTCAGCAGCCAGCAGCTGTCTGAGTGAAGAAATACCTCTAGCTTCAATTGGCCAGGAACAGGAGGCAGAGCTGAAGCCCAAGGCTCAGGGACTTTCTCCCAGCCCCTAGAGCCTGGCACTTTGAACTCGGACTTAAAGCCTCCAAACTGTAGGAGAATAAACTCTTACTTGTTCAAGCATCCCATTTGTGGTATATTGTTGGAAGAGCACTAGGTAGCCAGAACAGGTACTAACCAAAAGTTTGGCAATTTGAAACTACCCAGAGGACCCTTAGAAGCTTTCTGCTTCTGATGACATTTCTGCTTCTGAATTGTCACAGCCATGATAACCCTGTGGAACATAGTTCTACTCAGACACACATGGGGTTCCCATGAGTTGGAATTAGCTCGATAGCAACTAGTTTGGTTTGGTTTTCTGGATATCATGAAAAGGAAAAGGAAAATTTCCAATTCTTCAGAAAAGCACTGTAGAAAAACTAATGAATAATAAATTTCCAGCATTTTTCCTAAAGGCATAATGGAAAAGTTTCCCACCTTCCATCACTTGTAAATTAAGGCTGGGCCTTCTTTTCAGCCTAATAATTTCCTGGGAATTCACAGTGTTCTGATGGAAGCTTTCTTTTGCAAGTACAAATTCAGATGCAAGTTCTCAGCCTCAGGCAAAAAGAACTTTGTATTTTTTTTTTTTTTTTTCTCCCTGTTCTGTTTGTTTTAATTTCCCAAAGAACCATCTGCCAAGATTTGTAGAATCAGAGAATCTCAGTGAGGAAACTCAGTGAGGAAAGAGACTGAAGAAAAGCTTGTCCAAGACCCTCATTTACCAATGAGAAAATGGAGATCCAGGGACATGACTTGGGAGGTATATAGAAAACCTTCCATGAGCCAAGAACTGATCTGGACACTTTAAAATGTATTAAATCCAATACCGTATGTAACAAAATTAGAATAGTTCCTGCCCAATAAATGGTAGAACTCCTGTTAATATTCTTAATAATGTGTTGAAATGTCAATTCTTTCCTCAGAGAGGTTAAGTAAATGGTCCAAGTTCACAGTTAGGAAGTTAGGGAGCCAGAACTTGGACCTGGTTTTGTCTTGCCTCAGCTACCATGTTCTTTCCCTTATATGATCTTGCCTAGTATGACTGAAGCTAGATGTTAACCTGGATTCCCAAGCCTCCCTTTCTACCATCACTCACTCTACATCTCAGCCCCCAGGTGTCATACACGAGAGAGAGGGGCCCTGGGACATCCCCCCAAAAAAAAAAGCTAAAAGGCAAGTATGAGGTTCTTGAATGAGAGGGCAACATGGGATACAATGGAGACGGAAATAGCTGTTGACCCCAAAGGTTGCTCCCACCACTGGGATGAGCTAAGGGCAGAGTTGGGGTGGTGGTGCCTGCTGCTGTTAGTCTTCATAAAGATTTTTCAGCCTGTCCAACTAAAAAACTTCACCCTCCTCTGATATTTTTTCTTGAATGAAAGTTATTCATGCCCATGTCTCATCTCCCCTTTGAGGTCCTGAATAATCAAGGTAAGGGTCTGTGTGTTATTTAGATTTTTATTTCTTAAGCTGACATAGTACAGGGACATAAAAGTCACTCAGCAACTGTTGGCCAAGTAAGTAGTGGCACACCCTCAACCCTCTTTCTTTTCATTATGTCTTGCCATCTTGATTCCATGTTTCACTAAGCCAAATGCTGCTCTTTGAAATGGCAAAATCCTATCTGTATATGTAATTTATAGTTATTAATTCCCAAAAATGTTAAAAAAATTAACCAGTCCCATGTCTGTGGGGCTAGATCCTCAAGCCCAATGTACAGACTGAAAAATGAAAGCACAGAGAGAATAAGTGACTTGCTTGAACTGTCAGAACAAATAAAAAACAGGATCAGAGGGAAAAATCATTGATCTCAGACCACCTGAGATGATCTTTAGACCATCTGCATGCCCAGTGGCACCTGCATCCTGGGGGGCTCTAAGCTCTGGAAAGAAGGTTAGTAGAGTAGGGAAGTTTAAATGAAAATTTTCTTTGAAAGTCAATTATTAAAACATTTCCTTTGGATCTGGCTGTTCATTCTCTCTGTGTTTCCTACTGTTGTTAGGTTTGGGTGGGGCAATCTCCAACCATCCACAGCTGCCCCTGGGTATGAAGCTGGATGTCCACAGGGGAATGACAACAGAAAGGGAAGTCTTAAAACCCAAGTTCTACTTAAGCTTTATCTTTCTAGGGAGACGGGTCATGGGTGTCCTAGGAGTATGTTCAGCTTTAATGACACCAAACTGTTTTACAAGTAGTTGTACTAGTTGACACTGCCAGTAGCAGGCTCCACATTCCCATCCCCACCTGCAGCTTAACTTGACGCTGCTTTATTCCGATCAGTCACACCTGAAGTCCACTTACTCCAAGGGGATATTTCTGCTTCTCTCCCACCCAGATGTCAACAGCTGGCTGCTCACCTTTGGATTCCAGCTCCACAATGTCATCCCCGGCTACCCTAAGCCAGATATGGATGCCATGGAACCGTCCTATGAGCTTGTACATACACAGATGAAAACTCAGGAGTGGGACAATAGCAAGGTAATTCCTACATTTGGCTGCCCACCTATCAATCCATTCAGACATTCCAAGAGTGAGTGACACCAGCTCAGGCTGATAATGGCAAATGATATGCCACTCCACAGAGAATTTTTAACAAATACTTAGTAACCCCACCACTGTACAAGTCACTGAGGTTGCAGCTGTAAACAGCATGCAGACCCCCACACACTACGTTAAAGATTTCTGTATGTTATGTTGGATTTGGAGTTCACAAAAATAATGAGCCTTTGTCACCACTCAGAACAAACATCCAAGGAAAGAACGTGTGTTCTAAATACAAATGTGACATTTCTGGAGCACCTTCCATGTACGCGGCCTTGCGTGAGGTATCCAATGTAAGTTACCTCACAAATATCCTATGGTATTGGTCTCATTTTACAGATTTAATGCTTAAGGCCATGCCACACAACAAGGAAGGTTTCTGTTCTATATCATCTTGCTGAGTATGGTGCTTATATTCTAGGAGCTCAATAAATGTTATTTTCTTTTTATTCCTTTTATGGACCAATTTTAAAACTCATAGAATTATATAGCTGGACTTGTCCTAAAAAACAGTCTTATGCCATTTGATCAGTTTATACATTCACTTGCCTATGTATTCCCTCCTGCACTAATGAATTCTGCATCAGGCCCAGCTCTGTACCAGGCCATATGCTGTACCCAGTGGATGCAGTAATCAATCAGGCAGAGGCCAGGTCCTCAGGGCGATCCCACTCCAGGGGGACAACATACTGAGGAGGAAAGCAGGGCTGCTGGAGTTAGGATGGAGCATACTGCTAGTGCTCTGGGAACTTTCTATGTTTGTTTCTTACTTGGTTCTCCAATCACCCTGATTCTTTCAGACCTCAGTTTAGCAAACTCCTTCCCTTGGATTCCGAAGGATGTGGTTTTATGCCTCTGTGCCCTGCTGGCCCCCTATACATCAGCAAAGCATGTGTCACAGTAGACTTTGATTCCTGCTTCTTTCCTATATTTCTACTAGACTATGAGTTCCAAATGGATAAATACTGGGTCCTTATTTGGTGTTCAGTATACAGTCTAGCACATAGTAGGTGCATGGAAAAATAAATCAATGGTTGAAAGAAGTAAATAACAACACTGTGAGAGGTACGTTTCCCATTTTACAGATAAAACCAGGGTTCAGAGATCTTGTTCAAGGTCACTTGGCTGGAAAGTGGCAGAAGACAATGAGAACCCAAATCTGTCTGGCTTTATAGCCTAGCCTCTTCCTGCTGCCTCTGCTGATCTAGCCCTCCCTCTTTGCCCCTCCAATTCCCACTATCCCCCCCAGGCTCTGCCCTAGCTGTCCACAGCATTTGCTGTCCCCAGGACCAATTCCAGCTGCCTTTGCTCTTTCTCCCCACCAGGTTACCTTCTCCAATCCACAGAGCCCTAGTCTCAGACTGCCTGTTTACCAACCTTGTCTGTCAATGAATTATTGATTTCTGCCCTTGGCAAGCATCGGAGATCTTTGTTGTTGAGCACTCCAGCTTTCGTGAAACTCTAGGAAATAATTGTTCACAGACAGGGTTCTATTAATTATAAAGAGGACTTAATTTCAGTGAGAAGCCGATGGGTCTGTTTCTGAGGCCATTTCTCTGAGTTGCTGATAAGGCCCTGGAGCCTTCCTGAACACGGCTTCCCCGAGCTCCCTGATTCATGGGAGAGACATGCAGATGGTTCTCCCAGCTGGCAGGGTCTAACTTGTCCCCGAGAGCAACCAACAGCAGGAGTACCTGAGTAGTCCCAAGGGAGCACTGTGGGGCCCAGACCCATCTTGAGAATCATTTATAAACACCATAGAGAGCAATAAACCAGGGCAAGAGGTTTTCTATCAATCATACTTTTCATCTTACTATGCCTTCTTGCCAAACATGCATTATTTTTACCATTCCTCCATCTAACATCACCCTCTTACCCTCCAAGTCCTAGGTCCAGCATGAGTCTTTCCCTGAACCCCACTGTCTCCACCTCTCTCCTCTATCATCAGGCTGAAATTCTTCTGAGCCTTGTTTGCACCTTAGCTCCAGCAGCCCTTGAAGCTGAGCCCCTGAGTCAGACAGACCTGTGTTCAAATGTTGACTTGAATACTTACTAGCTATATGATCATGGGCCAGGTCAGCCTCTCTGAGGCTTAGTTTGCTTAGATGTATAATCAGAATAATAGTAGTACTGTGAAAATCAAGTAAGAAATTAATGTTAGTGGTTTAGCTCAAATATCAAGAAATGTTAGTTGTGGCTATTATTATTACCTCTCTTAGACCACCAGTTATCACATTTGATGCAGTCATTTGTTGTCATATCTTTCCCTACTAAACTATGAGTTCCTCAAGGACAGGAAAGATGTCTGATTCATTTTTGTATCCCCAGTGCTCAGGACACACTGGGCACTGAGTAGGTGCTCCTTGAACAGTTTATAAATAGAGGGTAAGTGAATGGATGCATGCAGGATGGCTGTATGTTCTGATGGTCAGCAGCAGAGAGAGAATCTATAGGTTAGTAAACAAGTGTAGATTTGATTTAGTTAGTTAAGCATATTTTCCAGAGTCTTGGATTTTTGGTTTTTTTCCTTTGTCTTACTTTCTCTCTCACTCTCCTTCCCCCATCAGTCTATCCTTGGGGTACAGTGTGAAGTGCAGAAGCAGCTTAAGGCTTTTGTCACCCTTGAACGCTTTGATCAGCTCTACGGCTCCACTATCACCAGCTGCCAGCAGGCCCCAGAGACAACAAAGAGGTTTGCATCCAGTGGCTCAGTCTTTGGTAAGGGGGTCAAGTTTGCCTTGAAGGATGGCCGAGTGACCACAGACATCATTAGTGTGGCCAACGAGGATGGGCGGAGAGTTGCTGCCATCTTGAACAATGCCCACTACCTAGAGAACCTGCACTTCACCATTGATGGGGTAGACACCCACTACTTCGTGAAACCGGGGCCTTCAGAAGGTGACCTGGCCATCCTGGGCCTCAGTGGGGGGCGGCGAACCCTGGAGAACGGGGTCAACGTCACTGTGTCCCAGATCAACACGATGCTCAATGGCAGGACTAGACGCTACACAGACATCCAGCTCCAATATGGGGCACTGTGCTTAAACACTCGCTACGGAACCACGTTGGATGAGGAGAAGGCACGGGTGCTAGAGCTGGCCCGACAGCGAGCCGTGCGCCAAGCTTGGGCCCGTGAGCAGCAGAGACTGCGGGAAGGGGAGGAGGGCCTGCGGGCCTGGACAGAGGGGGAGAAACAGCAGGTGCTGAACACAGGGCGGGTGCAAGGCTATGATGGCTTCTTCGTGATCTCTGTCGAGCAGTACCCAGAACTGTCAGACAGTGCCAACAACATCCACTTCATGAGACAGAGTGAGATGGGCCGAAGGTGACAGAGAGGGCCAAGGCCTGGACTTCTTGCCAAAGACAGCTACACTTCTGTGGCCGCATACCTGACTGTGTTGTACTTTAAAAAAAAAGAATCCTTTTTTTAACAAGTGCAGAAAACAAACATAAAAAGATACTAGTTGCATTGGAACTCATGCAACTTTTTTTTTTTTTTTTTTAAAAAGAAAAACACAAATTTGGCCTTCACACATTTTTGCAAAGAACAGAAGGTGTTTTTTTTTTTTTTTTTTCTCTCTCTCTCTCTGTAGTGTGATTACAATGAAAATTTTATTGTCCTTTGTTCCCTTTTTATCTTGAGGATTTTTCCTTATTGTTAGGGTATGTTTCTCCCCTCTGAAACACATTTCCTGGGGTATGTCATTGTCTGTCCCTAGGTACTAAGTGTGATGTGAGACATGAGTGTCTGTGCTAACTTGTCTCATGTGCAACCCTTTCTTTTTTGATGGGGAGGAGTGAGGGGTGCAGGAGTAACAGGCCAATATAAAACCCTTCAAGGGGGCTAGGAGGAGGGTCTGTAGGACCTGAGGCTCCTTGGCTAGATTTCTGCAGATGAGATGTAGCTTTTTATTCACTGTGTTCTGTCCTTCCAGAGAACCACAGATGGCTTCATCTTGCTCCGGAGAATTTCATGATGTTGTTCAGCACCTTTTTCAGGCTGCCCCAAACTCCTATCCCTGCTTTATATTTTTATGCTAAATGAAGCCCCCTATCCTTTTTGAAAATCCTGTGTAGGTGTCAGTGGCCCCCCATGCTGGGATGGAGAAAGTGTCTCCCAGGTCCTTTCCCCAGTCTGGTGACATAACATCCTGGTGCTAAGAGCCCCATTCCCCACAGGAGGGAAAGGCATCCAGGATGTCTGTGGTTGGTTGACCCTTCCCTTCAAAGTCAGATGTGAAAACCAGCACTGTACAACAGGCCTTCAATGTGGGTTCCATGTCCAGGGATGGGATGCCACCTATGACCAAGGGGTGGCAATGGTGGTAATGGTGGCAAGGGTACCAGCCTGCCTTCCTAGGTGAAACCCTCTTGGCATGACCTTGGGTATCTTCCCTCCACTGCTCAGCTGCCACCACTGAGAAATAGGAGTGGAGAGAGGTGCTTGGTGGCCTTTAATTCTGGAAAGATGTTTAAGAAAAAGTCAACCAAAGAGAGGAAAGCATGAGCCAAGCATCGTTCTAACCAGCTCCTGAAGTCTCCTCTGCCTCCCACATACGGGCTAATTGCAGAGCTGGGATGCAGGAGGATAGGCTTTCAGGGAATTCTTTCTGTGAAATTCTTCTAAAGCAGCTTCCCCTCTAGAGAAGCCCAACCAGGGTTTTAAAGAAAGAGAAAGGTGGAAAGAGCTGATTTGGGGCAGCCTGTCAGTATTGCACAACCCCACCAAGATGAGTGGCAGTTCCTAAAGCTGGTGCCCATGGATCCTGGCTGCCAAGCTAGAATTATTCCTGTGAAGGACCATGCCTGAGGTCATCAGGAAGAGACTTGAGCACCCCCAGGAGTGGGCACAGCCCACATCTGAAAGGCACCCCAAGGGAGAGACAGCAGCCAACAGGCAAAGGGAAGCACTGAGGGGAGGGGAGAGTAGGAGCAAGAACTGGAGCTCCTTGCTCAAGGATTCTATTCCTGGGTCATCTGCCTAATTACCATTGTCATTACCGCTCACAGGAGGCTCTGGGAGACAGGAGGGGAAGCCAAATGCTTCCTTTTGAGCTGGGCTTCTTAGAAAATGGGACTTTTATGGGTTACATTTACATTAAGTGTGGAAAATGAATTCTGAGTCTGAGCTTTTCCCCGTGGAAACCTTGTTGGACTGATAAGCTCATGGCACCTTTATAGCCTTACTCACAGAGTCTTCAGAATATTACACAAGTTAATGAAACCAAGAAGGTCTCTTACTGCATGGGAATCAGAGCAACATGCAGTCTGGGTTCTGCCTGGCAGAAGGAGGCATCCAAAACTTCTCGGGGAGAGGAGGCTTCACCTAACGACATCCCCTTGGTATCAGAGGATATATTTTGATAAGTGCTCTTCCTGTTCCAAAGCAAAGCCACACTGCTGTGACAGTGTGTCTCAGTCTGTTTGGCCACTGGTTGCCCACTGCCTCTGGATCCAAGGCTCCATGGAATCAGATGCAAGCTCCTCCAGCCCACTATGTACTGCTGGTGGGGAGGGCTGCCATATGGCAGGATCATTCTTGGATAGGATGGGGAAAAGTTGGGCCTGAAGAACATAATTTTTCTTTTTGTCTGAAAGAGACAACATTGTGCTCTTGATATCAGGGGCCCTTGTGAGAGCTCTCCTGCCCATTGCCTTGGTTGATCGGTTCCATCGGCTTCATGATATCACTCAAGACTTGCTGGGGATGTCAACTTAGAGGTCAGAAGTCAGACAAAGCATGGGAACCAAGGGAACCTTCCCTATACTTTCCTGCCCTCTGTCTTCTACCTCCTTCCTCCACCCAAAGTAATAGTGTGGACTTTTTAGGATCAAAAACACAGATGTATTGTGTGTTCCTTTTCATTAAGTGAATGATCTTGTTTTTCCTGGGCTGGGTACCACCAAGCAGGCCCAGCTTCTGGGAGGAGAAGTTAAAGCATCCCTGAGATTTGGGAGCAGGGAATGGCTCTCAAGTGTGGAAATGGCAACATTATGCACCTCTGTTTCACACTGGTGCTGTTGCTGTTGGAGATCATGCTTCTGGCCTTGGCTCTCTTAAGTGATTTCCACTCCGGCTGGCAGGTCACTCAGTACCTCCCCTCTCAGTCTGTCTTCCTGGTGAGACTGCAGCCCCAAGCCTACAGCAAGGGTAAGTCTGAAGGCATGAGCCAGAGTTCCCTGTGCCTACGGCCTCCAAGCATCAAAGTCCATCCTTGATGGCACCTGCCCCTTTAGCACTAACTGACCAAAATCTTTCCTACCAGCAGCATTCCCTTTCTGGCCCAAGTTCATGAGGTGCTGCAGGATTCTGGCTTCTGATTCTAGTCTTAAGAAGGTGGCATCAGAATAGTTCCTGCCTTCCACAACTGCTAGTCAGCCCCTCATCCTCAGCCCCTCTGCCATCACCTTCATAGGACATTAGTGATTCCCCAACTTTGTTTGTTATAGGATGTTCCTTTTCACCCACACTCCAGAAACACACCACTGGAGGAAGGAACTGCAACTATGAGCGGAAATAGAAAGGAGCTCCATAGCACTTTTGTCAGCCCTGCCAATTTGTCTCTCAGAATTGCTGGCTGAGAGGTAACCCAAGGGCCAGACCAATGCCAGGTATCTATATAGGGATGGAGGATTTGAAACAATCCCTAAGAAACTGAGTGGAGGTTAAGAATGACCAGGGAGTCTGCTTTTAAATAATCAGGACAAGGTGGGGCTGGGAGCAAAAGGTGACAGTGGGGCAAGGGAAGTGAGTAAAGCTGGGCAGTGTTTTGTTTGTTTTTGTTTTTTGTTTTTTTATATATAGACATATCACAAGGGACCAGAATTGCTTTTTTTTTAAAAAAAAAAAAGACCTTTACAGCTGTGACTTTCAAGCGTCACCTTTACTGATGGCAGGGATTTCCATGATACAAAGACGAGGCTTTTAAAGTGAAATCTTAGACTACAGTTTGAAAATCTGCAGCATTGTATTTGGGGTGATACTGAGGTGAGGGCAGTGATACTGAGCTTTGTGCCCTCACTGAGCTTGCCAGGCTCAGCAGGGTCTGGGGACTTTGGGGTTTGCGTGCCTAGTGCTCAAAGTCAAGTCTGTTCTCCATTCCTCATGTTGTTGTTGTTGTTGTTGTTTGCCATCGAGTCGGCCCCGACTCATAGCGACCCCTCCTTGGGTTTCCGAGGCAGTATCACTACGGAAGTAGGAATGCCCAACCTTCCTTCCGAGGAGTGGCTCTGGTAGCATAGTGGCTAAGACACTTGCCTGCTAACCAGACGGCTGGCGGTTCAAACCTACCAGCCACCCCTCGGAAGGAAGGTTGGGCAATCCTACTTCCGTAGTGATACTGCCTCAGAAACCCAAGGAGGGGTCACCATGAGTCGGGGCCGACTCGACGGCATATAACAACCATTCCTCATAGCAGCCACTAATCCCAAGAGGTAGCTCCTGGTCTTTTGCTTGGGACTCGGTGCCAGAGAGATTCAAATAAGAACCCAGTCTTACTTTCCCTTGGGGTCCTCATGAGGACTGAAAGCCTTCCATTTAAGACTCCCAGCTATGTTTGTAGGAGCTCTGGTGATGTAGTGCCTAAGGCATTTGACTCTAACCAAAAGGTTGGCGGTTCAAACCCACCAGCTACTCCACGGAAGGAAGACTGGGCAATCCACTTCTATAAAGATTTACTGCCTCAGAAACCTAAAGAGGGCCGCTATGAGTTGGAATCAACTCGATGGCAGTGAGTTAAGTTTTGTTGTTGTTGTTTTTGGTTTTGCTATGTTTATACACTTATCCATATTTTAAAGGTGGAGAGGGGATTTAAAAGAATTTTGTCATTCAAGGCCCTTTCATTTATCCTTCCAGAAAATAGCAAACTCATTTTAAAGACTCATTTGCTCAGGTGACAGAGAGAAACTTTATCTTCTCCAAATTTTATGTTCTCTAAAACCAGCCTTGTGTACTTGACTGCCCCAGATAGTCATGAGCTCTTAGGTCTCATTATGAATGTGGAAGATCAGAGTGAGGAGAGGCCTGGGTAAGGGCCAATGTTGTGTTTCTTAGCCCCTCTGGAATGCCAAAGGCATAATACTGGGTGATCTTCTGGTCCCTGAGAAAATGTGATTTATTCTGAGGGCAAACTGCTAATGGAAAACTAACCCTCAGCAGACTCAGCTCTCCTGGCAGAAGCTGGGTCACAGATGTCTGGTGGTACCCGGCAGACCTGGATTGACCCAACACCAGAATCCCTCCTTTATAAATCTGTCTATTGTTCTTGAGGACTTCTGAACCCGCAGCTTCAGCAAAAGGACTTTGTACCAAGCTGCCTCTGGATGACCAACACTGGAGACTCTGGCCTTACCATGTGGAAATAATTTTCCTGAAGTATGGAACTAATTTTGAGAAGTTTTTTTCTCAACACTTTTGTGTTTCTAACACTGTATTCTTGACTGTGTAAATACCAACAAGGCTGTAAATAAATGCAGATGTAGATACCTTCTAGAAAAAAAAAAAAAAAGGAAAAGCATAAAAACAAAACCAGAAGTGATCCCGTGTACCCTTCGTTGACAAATAAAAGAATATTTTGTGTTTAGAAGTGTTTGGTGGCCTTTGTTTGGACAGTAAGCTGAGCAGCT